AACCCTGTCCCCTAACCTGTCCCCTAACCCTGTCCCCTAACCCTGTCCCTAACCCTGTCCCCTAACCCTGTCCCCTAACCCTGTCCCTAACCTTCTCCCTAACCCTGTCCCTGTCCCCTAACCCTGTCCCTAACCTTCTCCCTAACCCTGTCCCCTAACCCTGTCCCCTAACCCTGTCCACTAACCCTATCCACTAACCTTCTCCCCTAACCCTGTCCCCTAACCCTGTCCACTAACCCTATCCACTAACCTTGTCCCCTAACCCTGTCCCCTAACCCTGTCCACTAACCCTATCCACTAACCTTGTCCCCTAACCCTGTCCCCTAACCCTGTCCACTAACCCTATCCCCTAACCTTGTCCCCTAACCCTGTCCCCTGCTGGGTCTGGATAAAGAGGAACAAACTGGAATGAGCCTCTAATGCTGCTCTGACCACAAAGAAGACATGATGAATGATTCTTCAGAAGTGCTTAAGAACTGAACCTAGACTCTTCTCCAGATCTGGACCAGGATCCTGGTCAGGATTATAGCTGGACTCTTCTCCAGATCTAAGTCAGGTCATGTCAGGAAAATGTTGCTACCAAAGAGACAGAGATGAGAACAACCTGAGCAGCAGTGAGGCTGTAGCACCTCCTCACTCCAGCAGGGGATGTGTGTGTGCGTGTGTGTGTGTGTGTGTGGTGGGGGGGTGGGGGGTGGGGGTGGGGGGGTGCACGTGTGTGTGCATGTGTGCGTGTGTGTGTGTGTGTGTGTGTGTGCTGTGGCTGTGGGCCAGGCTGAGGCTGCAGATATACCTCAGTCACTGATAATCACCATAATCTGCTGTAAACACACAGTACCATGTGATCACATGTTTGTCACAGTCTGTTCTTTTGCATGAGTTAGGACCAGGACCTGGAGCCATGGTCCAGTCTGAGGAGGTCCTGTGATGAGGTCCTGTTGGTAAATAAATACAGTCTCACAAAAGCTGCTGTCGTCTGTTTTTGAGCTCTGAAGACGAGAGTTTAAATTCGCTGAAGCCTGTGATTTACATTGGGATGGTTTTGATGGATTCTGATTTTTGTGAATGATAAAATTTAAAAAAAAAGTGAATCTGTTCACTTCATTATGGCCTACAGGCCTTGTGGCCGACAGCAGCAGCCTTTATTCACCATAAATACACTTTTCAAAGTGACTGGCTGTTTAGAAGAACAAACCCTGTGTGTCATGACATGAGACTGAAGCTCACATTTCCAGTGGACGGGAGCAAAGTTTAATTTATGTCAAACGGCCTTTTCATGAGTTCACTCTGAGCTGTATTTTGACTGATTCCTGTTGTCCTGCATTTGAGGCTTGAGTGTTAAAAAAATAAAAGTGTTCACTTCTCTGTATGATCAGACTTTAGGTGAAACATGTCTGGTTCAATGTGATATAACACTGGGAATTTACAGCATTTATATCTATAATATTATAAAATACAAAATGGAGTTAAAGAGCCCATCTTCAGGAGCCTGTGATCAGTCCGAGCGTTCATGGTGCTGTTTAGGAGTTTTCAGCAAAAAAGCTGAGATCTGTTTCTGGTCAGGCCGTGTTCAAATAAAGCTCGAAATATTCGAGAGAAAGTGCAGAGCCGGTGTCTTTACTGAGGGCAGTGTCCTGTGTCCTGTGTCCTACTACACACTGTCACCAGAGGGCGCCCACGCTCCACCCAGAGGACACACCTGTCCCCGGCTCACTCAGCCAAAGGTAAGGCACCAGCACACACGCGCGCACATTACAGAGACCTTCGTGAAGTTGCCCACAACTACTCCTTCCAAACTCCAGTCCTCTCGAGTCCTGTTGTTCTGAAGCTGTGTTATGTGTCTCCTGTTATCACACAGAGCCTTTTCTTATTCGAAACAACGAGGAGATTTCCAAAGAAACACAGAACATTTTGAATGAAAATTGTTGCCTTAGAAATAAGAGCATTTGTGTTCTTGCCAACAGAGCGCAGGGAGCAGGACGCAGACAGAAAGGCCCAACATGGAGGAAAGTGCCCGAGCGAACACGGACATATACAAATCGGACTTGATGCTTGTGTACGAGCTGGCGAAGCTGCACGGCCTGGACGTCAAGTTCCGTGAGGATCCCGCGACCACACCAGAGTCTTCCACGTGGAGCTGCGGGTGGGGGGCTTGGTGGGGTTCGGCAGCGGGCGCACCAAGAAAAAAAGGCCAAGGCCTGTGCAGCCGCAGAGGTGGTGGAGGGTCTGAAGAAGCTTCCCGTGCCAGAGGGTGTGACCCCGTACTGGCTCAAGCCCCGCAGGGCTCCAGTGGAACCCGCGGACCGGCCCAACTTTTTCTACATGAAAAACCCCGATCTGTGCCCTTTCTGAGACCCTGACCACGGAGGCAAAGGCCGGCGGAGTACCGGCTCGTGTGGTCGCACTCTTCGACGTCATGTGTGGAGGTGAGCGTGGGACCCAGGACCTGCCAAGCTACGGGCCCCTCACCGCAGTCGGCCAAGGCCCTAGCAGCGCACAGGATGCTGCTGCTGTTGGGGTTTAAAGAGCAGATGGAGCAGGAGGCGCACAGGCGCGCGGTCCAGGTGCTGAAACTGAGCCTACAAAAGGCAGGGACTCACCTGTCAGAGACCACCAGTGTGCAGCTGCTGGCCTCCCTCCTCCTCTGAGCTGCTGTCCCCCAGAGGAGAGTGTCCCTGCTGGGTACTCCGGTCCCACACACTGCCTGGTCACAGCGATGGCCCGCGAACTGCTCCAGAAAGCCCACGCGCCCCTGGATAAGGAACAAGAGGAGGCGCTGATCCTCAGGCTCAGAGAATTGGAGAGGCGGGTCACGGTGCCGGAGACCACGGAGCTCACCGCAGAAGAGCTGGAAGCAGCGGGCAGAGCAGCCGCCCCCAGTCTGCGCTGGGAGAAAGACTCTGTGCACACTCTGCTCCTGCGCACGGAGCGCGATTTTCTGGAGACCACAGCGAAACATCTGACCATGCAGCTCCACAGCTCCAGAGCAGGACCAGCTTCTTCTCACCAGTCACATGACCTGTATCTGTGAAGTTCAGCTTGACTTTAAGATGGCGCATAAAATACTCATTAAAAACAACGTTCAAAATAGAAATGTGTGATTTGATTATTATGGGTGAAGTTGATTTTGGTTGAAATTGGAGCCAAAGGAATAAATGTGGGCACATTTCTAAATGACACAAAGTGTGGAGGTGTTGAGGCAGGGGATCAAGTATTTAGTGTTGTTACTTAGGCCAGGTATTTTTGGTTCCTGTATCTTTTACTTAAGTAAAAGTATCACATGAAAAAATCTTCAAAAGTGCAGTAACTTCTGGCACGTCTCCTGAGTCCATGGAAATACAACGTTAAAACTTAACTACGAAATATTTTCCATGGAGATAGACATGTTTTGTGCCAGTGTGGAAAATTATAGCCAAAGGAACATGGCGCACTCTAGTCTATTTTCTGGCTCAAAGTTACGCACTGTCCTGCGGTGTTTCCAAACGTTTTTTTTAGGGGACCCGTATTTTAAAATTCACAAACCTTTGTGACCCAAGTCAATCGACATGATTCATAAATCACAAAATAAAGGTGGATTTGAGCATTATTGAACATTAATGAGGATATTTTATAGTTGACTGAGAAATAAGCAGAAATAAAAGGATCCAGAAGTCGCCTATTTGAACATTAAATGTAGAACATTTCTTTTTCTTTTCAATATTCAATTGAACCAGCAGTACTGGAACAAAATAGTCAATAATATAATGACAAAAAGATTAGAAATGATACAAAACATGTCTTAACATTTCAACATTTCTAGATAAATGGGCCTGTGTGTGCTTTTGTGCAGGAGGAGAGCGCTGCAGCAGATCAGGCGACTCAACAAAAAATCTCTTGTGACCCACCTGAGGGTCGTGACCCAGTCTTTGGGAAACAGTGCTGTACTGCACATCCCTTTTTATTTATAATGGGACTTCCTGGTTGGACGCTGCAGCAGATGTGACGCAGACAGAGGGATTTGTCTTTTAACTGATGTAAAACAATCATACATATGGAGCACAGGAACTATCCACCAAACCAGTAAGAAATAGTATAACATAAAAGCCACTCAGATGCACTTTAAGTAAATGCAAAAAAAAAAAAAAAAAAAAAAAAGAAAAAAAAACTGTCTTGATGTACTAGTATGTCCCGCTGCAGAATGAAGACGGGGAGTATTTATGAATGCTTGAAATATTTCTGTTGGATTTGATTTGAATATTTCATAGAACATTATCACAAACAAACCTGGAGTTTTGCACATTTAGGCTGTGTTCCTCTCTCAAACAGAAAACACTCTGTTCCACCTTGTGATGTCATGTGGTGATACAGGAAAATCCACACACCTTCACTAGAGTCATTTGGATCATTTCAGTCCTGGAACTGCAGATCTCTACTGAATTAAAAAGTAAAAGGAGCTGTTCACTTGAAAACTACCACCACATGACATCACAAGGTGGAACAGA